AAAATCAGACGTTGTAATGGTAGCGGCAATATATCCATTGCTCCAAATTTTGCCATGAGGCGAACTATGACGCCAACCTGAAAACCATGAATAAAGAATTACCCTAATTTCCGGTGTATAAGCCCGCGCCGATTTCGCGTAAATGCACCTCCGCTCGCGCAGTGTATTTGCGTACCGTTGGGGACTACCGTGATCGCACGCCTGCTTTTATGGTGCAGTTACTATTCGGCCCATAATTTCACTTTTTGTAAATCGTTTCTTCTCTCTGTTGTCCGTCTGTCTGTCTGTATGTGTGTCTGTCTGTCACGAAATTGAGTGCTAGAGAGTCCGAAAACACAGACAAGGGCTAACGAGAAGGAGCAAGTCAAATAATCGTGGTGGTCAGGGCCGTATTTGCATATTTCGGTCAGGTTGCGCGCGCACCCTGTAGATGATGGATGCTGAAAGTATTTGTATTTTTCAGCAATATTGGTGCATTCTGCTAGCAAAGGTGCGCACATCAGCACAATGCAAGCACAAGTATCAATGACTAGTCCGGTGCGGTCCCCTGCTGGCTCACAGTGGAGTACTGATCGCTCGGTGCCGGCGCCAGGGCAATCAATACTCCACTGTGAGCAGAGAAGCGAACCTATAAACGCGCCCCAAGATCACGTGCTCTGCATCCAGCCAGCAACGTGACGCAATTACCAAGGTAGGTAGTTTCACCGCTTCCGATGATTCTGAATATTTCGGGTCATTGACGGAATTATTGAATCTTAGCCTTTTTCACTCTCAGATGGCTTTGAAGAAGAAGCGTTCCTCCTACACGGCGAAAAATATGGTCTCCGTGATTGATTACGCAAATGAACATGGAGTTGTCGAGGCTGCGGAACATTACGGGATTAAGGACAAACGAATGATCAGAAGATGGAAAAAGGCTGAAAATAAAATCAGAGAGATGCCATCGAAAAAGCGCGCAAACCGTGGAAAGAAAGAAGCCTGGCCCGAGCTGGAAAATGAGCTGAATACTTGGGTGCGATTGGAGAGAAGCGAAGGAGCACAGGTTTCCACTACTAGGATCATTAGAGAAGCATCGTTCCATGAGAATGTGATCGTCAAAGGCAAACGACAAAGGTTGGATGAATGAAAGCCTGATGAAGGAATGGATTCATGAGATCTGGCTCCAACGCCCTGATGCATCAACCCAACAAGGAAGCTCTGCTCTCATTCTGGATGCTGCCCTATCCCACCGAACAGAAGCAACAAAACAATGTCTACAGCAGTACTTCAGAATGATCATGATTCCTGGAGGACTCACAAAACTGCTTCAGCCGTTGGATATCTCTGTAAACAATTCATTCAAATCAAATCTGCGAAGGTGCTGGGAAGATTGGATGATTGAAGAAGAGCGGCACAATTACACCAAAAGTGGAAAAAGACAGCGGCCTTCGTATGAGGAAATTTGCGCATGGATTGCGACGAGCTGGGACCATGTGACAAGCGATTGCATTTTGAATGGTTTCAGGAAGCGAGTGCAGCGGACCTCAGGCTGACGACAACATAAGTGAAGCTGTCCATATGGCACGCTCTAAACTTTGAAGATGAGCCTGGTCAACTCATCCAATGATCCACACCTGCAAACGAAACCGTCCAATCAGCTAGCCAGCATATCTATGTACGCGTCTCTCCTCCTAAGGGGAAAAAGAAGAAGAAAGAATGCCTTCAGGGAAAATATCATTTTTTTATTCATAGCATTTATGCTAACCTTCACTGCAACTGTTGGGATTTTTCATTTACCAGAGTATACAGAGTTGCAGTCGTCATTTGTAAATGTTTATAAACAAATTTTGTGGCGTTCCGTGGCGATATGGAACAGTGAGGCCGAAATATGCAAATTCAGCCCAGACCACCACGATTATTTGACTTGCCTTCTCGTTAGCCCTTGCTCGTGCTTTCGGACTCTCTAGCACTCAATTTCGTGACAGACAGACACACAGACAGACACATAGACAGACGGACAACAACAGAGAGAAGAAACGATTTACAAAAAGTGAAATTATGGGCCGAAGTGTAACTGCACCATAAAAGCAGGCGTGCGATCACGGTAGTCCCCAACGGTACGCAAATACACTGCGCGAGCGGAGGTGCATTTACGCGAAATCGGAAATATACACCGGAAATTAGGGTAATTCAAAACATGCGAGGAGTGAGAGGACTTGATTGCGAAGTACGACTCCTCCCCTCCACTCGAAACCGGGGCCTTAGGACCCCCTTTGATTTGATTGAACAAGCGAGTTCTATCAATGTACACCAAAGGCAGGGTTGTACATCTAATCCTTTTGGTGTGGCGGGAACCTGTAGTAAGTAAGAATGCGTGAGCCAGGGGGAATGGGGCCAATTCAGGGGGGGGTGTGTGAGCCACTTAACCTGTGGCAAAAGTTTGGGCCTTACCATTAGTGTCTGGTGTCTGGCCTTATACATACAGTAGCGGTCAAAAGTTTGGAAACTTTTTGATCTAGCGCGGCCGACACACAACGAAAATGTCCTCAAATTTAGATATTACATACAAAATCAAGTTCCAGAATACGATGGGAAGAATAATTTCCAAAAATCTATAATCATTTTGAGAAATAAGATTTTTTTCAAGTAATGGCGCGTCAAAAGTTTGGAAACTTTTTGTTTCCCTCATCATTATGATTCCTACTCTTCAATGTTACTTGTTTCTGTTAATTTTAGTTCAACCATTGAGTAATGTGTAATTTCAAAATGAATTCATATGCAAAGGAAGCAGTTTTTCCATGGGAGGTCCTTTTTTAAACCCTACAATCCGGAATACGAAATTGAAATTGTTTCTTAGTAGTTCAGTCTCTACGAAAGCAATATTATCGAATGTTTTTAGTGTTTTTGGAGCCGAGTAAGCATAAGACGAATGATCATTCACAAAAAAGTATTCTCACAAGAAAATTGGCCCTCCTCAAATACTTCGAAGGGTGGTTGGCACGCCCCGTACCCCCGATATGCCCAACTAAGAGACGATTTTTTCTGGTTTGAACCTAATCGTATGAAAGTCCAAGCACAGCCCAACATCGGCCGCGACCTGGTGAATATTACGGATGATATCCCAACAAGAAGCCATTGTTGGGCTTCAAGAGCAGGATGGCCCAACTGGCTTCCGCACACTAACGGCTAACATGGACCGAAGGCGAGAGGTAAAACTTTGTCCTCAGCGACGAATGGGATTTCTATCTTCCTAAAAATGATGTTGTGGACCCTGTGAAGTGTTTTGTCAAATGGGAACCTCATTTTGAGTATAAGATTCCAACAGTCAGAAATAGTGGAAGTATTGTCATGGATGAAGATGTGTCCGACCATTCGGCGATTCCTCAGTT